CCAGCGGCTCTTGTATAATTAAAAATTACAGTTATTAATATATAACTGTTATATTTCTACCTTGTTAATTATCAGTATTAACTCCTTTTGTCTCTCAAAGGACCCCGGTTTGGACTATAAATTATATAATCGTCTTAATTTGAAAGGAACTGAAATTTTGGTCTCAACAACCAATATACCCGAATTGTTTTCTAGATTCATTTAACCTTTAGCATCCTTCGGCAAGGTCTCCAGATCCACCCTCCAACCCCCGATCCCTGCTACAGTGCAAACACAATTCCCAGGGGGGCATTAAACCCTAGACTGGGGTAGGAGAGTCACCTAGGAAGACAGACCCAGGATACCTCAACGCTCCGTATGAGGAGCTACGGAAGGAAGGAAGAGCTCACGATGCTGAGCGGTGGGCAGCGGTTCATTCAAAGTGACACATAGTACGCGCTAAATTAATGTTCGAATTTGGTGGCCTGAATAGAAGTTAACGGTGGGACGGAAAGAAAGAAGGGAGGGAGGGAGGGAGAGAGAGAGAGAGAAAGAGAGAGAGAAAGGAAAGAAAGAAGGAAGGGAGGGAGGGAGGGAGGGAGAGAGAGAGAGGGAGGGAGGGAGAGAGAGAGAGGGAGGGAGGGAGAGAGAGAGAGGGAGGGAGGGAGAGAGAGAGAGGGAGGGAGGGAGAGAGAGAGAGGGAGGGAGGGAGAGAGAGAGAGGGAGGGAGGGAGAGAGAGAGAGGGAGGGAGGGAGAGAGAGAGAGGGAGGGAGGGAGAGAGAGAGAGGGAGGGAGGGAGAGAGAGAGAGGGAGGGAGGGAGAGAGAGAGAGGGAGGGAGGGAGAGAGAGAGAGGGAGGGAGGGAGAGAGAGAGAGGGAGGGAGGGAGAGAGAGAGAGGGAGGGAGGGAGAGAGAGAGAGGGAGGGAGGGAGAGAGAGAGAGGGAGGGAGGGAGAGAGAGAGAGGGAGGGAGGGAGAGAGAGAGAGGGAGGGAGGGAGAGAGAGAGAGGGAGGGAGGGAGAGAGAGAGAGGGAGGGAGGGAGAGAGAGAGAGGGAGGGAGGGAGAGAGAGAGAGGGAGGGAGGGAGAGAGAGAGAGGGAGGGAGGGAGAGAGAGAGAGGGAGGGAGGGAGAGAGAGAGAGGGAGGGAGGGAGAGAGAGAGAGGGAGGGAGGGAGAGAGAGAGAGGGAGGGAGGGAGAGAGAGAGAGGGAGGGAGGGAGAGAGAGAGAGGGAGGGAGGGAGAGAGAGAGAGGGAGGGAGGGAGAGAGAGAGAGGGAGGGAGGGAGAGAGAGAGAGGGAGGGAGGGAGAGAGAGAGAGGGAGGGAGGGAGAGAGAGAGAGGGAGGGAGGGAGAGAGAGAGAGGGAGGGAGGGAGAGAGAGAGAGGGAGGGAGGGAGAGAGAGAGAGGGAGGGAGGGAGAGAGAGAGAGGGAGGGAGGGAGAGAGAGAGAGGGAGGGAGGGAGAGAGAGAGAGGGAGGGAGGGAGAGAGAGAGAGGGAGGGAGGGAGAGAGAGAGAGGGAGGGAGGGAGAGAGAGAGAGGGAGGGAGGGAGAGAGAGAGAGGGAGGGAGGGAGAGAGAGAGAGGGAGGGAGGGAGAGAGAGAGAGGGAGGGAGGGAGAGAGAGAGAGGGAGGGAGGGAGAGAGAGAGAGGGAGGGAGGGAGAGAGAGAGAGGGAGGGAGGGAGAGAGAGAGAGGGAGGGAGGGAGAGAGAGAGAGGGAGGGAGGGAGAGAGAGAGAGGGAGGGAGGGAGAGAGAGAGAGGGAGGGAGGGAGAGAGAGAGAGGGAGGGAGGGAGAGAGAGAGAGGGAGGGAGGGAGAGAGAGAGAGGGAGGGAGGGAGGGGAGGAAGGGAGGAAGGGGGAGGGAGAGAGAGGGAGAGATCACTGGGAGAAAGTGTGTGGTAAAGCTAAGGTGCCAAGTAGGTTTAACACACTGGGGAGATAAGGAGGAAAAGCCTTTGCTTGGAAGATAACCATGTGGGAGTTATGACAGGAAAACATTAGGCCACATGTAAACAGTGTGCGACCACCTTATCCGTTCTTGTTGTCAGATCAGGTACCTATTTGTCTGAACAGAAACATGTTTTAGTCCTCGATAAGTAGATTGTGCCAGTATTAGACCGTAAGATGGAAAACAAGCAGTATAAAAACATTTTTTTTGATAGGGACGAAAGTGCAGGCAAATTATGGTGTCTGTTTAAACGATAATCACAAAAAAATGACAAAAAGAGTAATCTGTACCCTGAAACCCAAAGTGGATAAATATATCACAGGAAAACTATAAACCAGTATCGCCTATGAAAATAGGTGTAAAAATCTCAACAAAATGCTAGCAAACCGAATCCAGCAACATATAAAAAAAAGATTATACAGCATGACCAAGTGGGATTTACCCCAGGAAAGAAAATTTGGTTTAACATATAAAATATCAACGTAATAAACCCAGGTTAGTGGAATTAAGGAAAAAACCAACAACACGATCATCTCTACAGGGGCAGAATAAGCGTTTCGCAAAATCCAAAATCCTTTCATGATAAAACACGCAACACGCTAGGCAGAGGAGAAGTTTCCCCAACCTGATAAAAAGCACCTGTGAAAACCCCGTAGCGAAGTTCATACTTAATGGGGAAATACTGACCGCCGGTCCCCCTAAAACCAGGACTAAAACAGATGTTCACTCTCCCTCCTTCTTTCATTGGAGGTGCTAACCAAGGCAGTTAGGCAAGGGGGGAAATGACATTCGGATGAGGAAGAAAGAAGTAAAACTATCTCACTTCGCAGATGACATGATCTCGTATGTAGAATACGCACACACGTGCACGCACACACACACAATCTTATTATAACTAACAGGAGTTTAGCAGCTTTGGAATATTCAACATCTTTATTCAAAAATCATTTGTCTTTCTGTTCACTAGCAACGAACAACTTAGAAAGGCAATTAAGAAACGATTCCACTCCCAATGATTTTAGAAAGTATAAGATGCACAGGAATCAAAAGAAGCATAAGACTTGTCCACTGAAAACCCAACATAATGGAAAGGACTTAAAGAAGCCCCCAGGAGATGGGAAGATGCTCCGCGTTCATAGATTGGAAGACGTAGTGTAGTTAACAGGGCAATACTTGCCAAATTTATCTAGGGTTTCAACCCAAACCCTAACAAAATCCCAGCTGTTTTGATCGCAAAAATTGACAGGCCGATTCTAAAATTCATATGAAAAGTGAGGGACTGAGAACAGCCAAAAGTATCTTTAAAAAGAACAGTTAAAGGATTATACGTACCAATTTTACTACTTACTCTAAAGCTACACTAATCTAAATATTGTACCATCATGAGTATAAACATAAAAGATCAATGGGATAGAATTGAGAGTTCAGAAATAAACCTAGATGGCTGATGGTCAACTCATTTTTGACAAGGGTGCCGAGACCATTCAATGGGGGAATGAATGCTCTTTTCAGCAAATGTCACTGGTGCAAGCTTGCATCCACACGCAGAAAAACCGAGTCACAGTCCTGCCTCACGCCATATGTAAAAATCAGTATAAGAGCTAAAACCATCCAACTCTTGGAAGAAAATGTAGGAGTAAATTCTTGTTACCTTGCATTAGGCAACTGTTTCTCAGCTATGACGTCAAAAGCACAAGCAACCGAAGAATAAAGCAGATAAACTGGGCTTCATTAGACTTAAAAACGTTTGAGCGTCTGAGGACGCTATCGAGAAAGTCAAAAGACAACCAACATCATGGGGCCAAATATCTGCAAACCGTATATGTTCAGCTAAAGTCAAGGAACCAGATTATTACCTAAAGTCTAGGGACTCTTACAGCTCAAAACAAAGAAACATAACTTAATTTAAAAGCGGGCAAAGAATTTGAATAACATTTTTCCAACAAAATGCAAAAAAAAGGACCATAAGCCTAAGAAAGGATGCTCAGCGTCATTAGCCATCAGGGCAATGCTAATCAAAACCACAGCGAGATGACACTCCACGCTCACTAGGATGGCTATATTTAAAAAAAAAATCATTGGTGAGGATGTAGAAAAACCGCAACCTTTACACAGTACTAGTAGGAAGGTACAATTGTGTAACCTCTGTAGAGAGAGAACATTTTAGAGTTCCTCAAAACGTTAAACGTAACGTTACCCAGTGATTCATTTAAACATATGACCCAGTCATTCCGCTCCCGGTATATAGTCCCCCGAACTGAAAATACGTGCTTATGCATAAATGTGCACGTGGACGTCCATACAGTGGAAAATTATTCAGCCGTGAAAGGGAACGAAATACCGGTACGCCCCACAACATGGATGAACTTGAAAGCGTCATGCTCAGTGAAGAAAGTTAGACACAAACGCCCACATGTGACCCAGAACGGGCGAACCCATAGCGATGGGAAGTAGGTTCATGGTTAAGGGAGAGCGGGGGAGGGGAGCAGAGCCGCGGCTGCTAACAGGTGTGAAATTCTTTCAAGACATGACGTGTATGGAAGTGTCGGATCCCCAGCCAGATGGAGCGGAGGCACGGAGGTGGCCCATATGCCCGTGCCCCGCACACACACAGCCCCCGCCGTCGGCATCCACGCCAGATGGTGCGTTCGACACAGCGGCTGAACCTTCCTTGAAGCATCTTAACGAGGTTTCTTGCGGGGAGAGGCAGCTCCTCTGGAATTTCATCTCCGTTAAGCTGTTCGTTTAAACAACGTTGAGAAAGTTGTAAAAAAAAAAAAACAGGAAAAGTTGGAGGCACCGGAAACATCTGGAGTCAGGATTCGGCGCCGTGCATGTGACCGAGCGGAAAATCTGGATTCGACGCCGGAATCCCCGTGGGAGGCTCTGGGGAGGGTTGATGGAGACAGACGCTGCTCTCGCCCTGTGGCTGTGCTGCCGACGATGTACCTCAGCGGCCGGGCGGCCGCGGCACGTTAGAAACGCGTGGGCAGGAGGCCGGGCCCGTCTCGGGCTGCGGAGCCTGCGTCCCTGACCCGCGCTGCGTGCACAGGGCGGTTCTACGCGAGCAAACGACGATGGACGGCTCGAGTCTGTGCCCGTCCGGCACTCGCTGGGAACCTGGAAGCCACGGTGTTTCCAGGAGTTGGCAGGCGGTCATGTCACCAACATCAACGGCCCTGGCCATCGTCATTCCCAGGTGGGACGGAATGGCCACCTGGAGCCGCGTCCGCAGCAGTGGTCCAGGGCGACGAGGCTGGGTGGGAAGGGCCTGGACCGAGTGGCCGGGGGCCACGTCCGTGCCACACGGGGAGTGTCCCCCTGTCGTCCAGCTGTCCGGGGAAGCTGGCACCCCCCGTTCTCTCCGGCACGGCTGCCGACCCGGCCAGCGTGTCCTGTTTGGTCCTGGTGCAGTAAGAGCCGTCATGGCAGCAGCCCCCACGGTACACAGAGCACACGGCCACTGTCACCGTCACCTCGGAACGCCGGAGGCCGGTTTTCAGGGACTGGACAGTGGCCCAGAGGTGACCTCGGGCGGTGGGGCTCTGGAGACCCCCGGATTCCAGAAGCGGCGTGAGGAGCGGACTCGTTCCGTGCCCCCGCCGCGGTGTGAGTGTGGCTCTCCATGCTCCCTTCCCCGGGCCGTCAGACGGGCCCACTGCCGCGCCCTCCGTCACAGGCGTCCTGTGGCCACTGTCCCCGTGCAGCGGTGGCTTTGGCACTCAGGACTCCGCTGGGCAGAGGGCGGCGTCGAGTCTCAGCTGCCACGAGCTGCAGCCCTTCGTCCAGCTCCCCTCACACGGGGAGGCCTCGCACCCACCAGCCTGCCCATCGCGGACCACACAGGCATGCCCCCTGGGGTGCCGAGGGCACCGAGCAGAGTGCGGGGCGAGGCGTGACGGGGGGACGCGTGCTTGGGGTCCACTTAAAAAGAGAGCCGTCCACAAGGAGGATTTTACAGGCGCGTGGCGAGTAAGCAAAAGTAAGCCCCATCGTGGGCAGGGCTTGGGTGAGGCCTGCCAAGTCGTTGACCTCCAGACTGAGCACAAGCAGGACAGGAGTGGCCAGCGGTGACTCTCGAAGGTGCAGCGTCCTCGTGAGACTCACACCTGGACGTACCTGCGTGGTCGCGGGGGCTTCCCGAGGCATCGGGCTGCCCACCGGCCTCGCTCCCATTGGCGGAGAGAGACGTGGTGTGGACTTTTTAGAATGCGATCTTTTTCCAAGTGCTACCGGTTCCCGGTTTACTGAAACTCAGATCACAGCACTTGCCTTCTACTGACCCCGAAATCCGTGCTGCGCTCGGCCGGTCTCAGGCTTTCGGTGGAAGCTTTTCCGGGCACGCGAGGGTCCCCTTCCTGCCCCGGCTGGCGCTCACGTGCTGGGACGCCCCGTCAGTGCCTCGAGCTCTCAGGGGGCCTCGCGACGGCCCTTCCGTGTTCTCCAGCTCGGTCTAATTAGCACCGGTTCCGCACAATTTATGTCCGAAGCATCAAATTAACAGTGTTTAAGGCAATCTCCCGCCCAGGGGGATTAGCCGAACGAGAATGTGTCCTTTCTAGTGTTGTCATTTATTTGTCCCCTGCTCGTCTGTGCTCTTTGCTAAATTTCTCTTTGGAATAATCGACTCAAAGTTACCTTTTATCAGTTTCGGATATTAAATGCACGTCTGCACTAGGTCACACACAGCACATGCCTTCTGGGGGGCGGGGTGCTGCTGCGGCCTGGGAGGAAGGCCTCTCGTGCTCTCCAGGGCCACCGTCACTGTCCCGGGAGCTGAGGAGTCCAGCAGGATGGAATTCTCATTGAAACAAGCCCGGCATTTGGCTTTTACGGGTTTTCACACTAGAGAAGAGGAATGATGGAAAACACACTAGAACGCTTTCGGGTGCAGTCGAAATGAAAAGGCTTGACTTCGAAAGCCGTCTTAAAAGCAGACTTTGGACTGTGGCCAGGCAGAGGTTATCAGAATATATGACTGGCTCCTTTTTTGTGAGGAGCAAACGTAAGAAATTATTTTTATGGAATTGAAATTTCATCACTCTTTGATTTAGGTCTAATGTCTATAACTGCATTGCTAGCTCTCAGCTAGTTTATCTTTAAAAAGAACATTTCTATTGGACTCGATAGGCTTTATTCAGAGGAAGAGAAATCCAGCAAATCGGCAGTTACGGCTCATAAATCAGGCTCCCTTACAGGAGCGTGCGGGTCCACGTGAGTCAGAAACCGAATCTGGTGTCCTGAATTCATTCCAGAGTCAAAATAGGATGAAATGGGTTTACATGGGGGAAAAGCTACCTTCCGTTTGGGAGAATCCCCCCCCACTTCAGAGTCGTCACTGCTAGTTAATAAAGCAAGTTCCATAATGACGTTCCCATGGATTTTTAAAATAGACATTATTGTTTGGAGCAGTTTTAGGTTCACGGCAAAATAGGGGGGAAGGCACAGGTTTCCCCCATGCCCCCCAGCCCCATGCACAGCCTCCCCGCCCGTGCACAGCCTCCCCGCCAAGGAGTACATTGTTGGCCATGGACGAACCTACAGTGACACGCCATCTCCACCCAACGTCCATAGGTTACATGAGGGCTCACTTTTGGCGTTGTGTAGTCTGTGGGTTTGGACAAACATATAGTAACACGTAACCATCATTATAGTGTCACGTAGAGTAGTTCCACTGCCCTAAACGTCCCCTGCGCTCCGCCTAACCCTTCCTTCTCCCCAGGACCCCTGGTGACCGCTGACCTCGTCACCACCTCCACAGTGCTGCCTTCTCCAGAACGTCGTCCGGTTGGAATCACGCAGCGTGCGGCCTTTCCAGATGGGCTTCTGTCACTTGGGAATACGCACTCGAGGCTCTTCTGTGTCTTTTCGTGGCTTGACGGCTCATTTCTTTCGGGGACTGGAGTGTCTGGAGTGTTTATCCACTCACCGACCGGAGGACATCTCGGTGGCTTCCAGGCTTTGGTAGCGATGAATAAAGCTGCCTTAAACATCTGCGTGCAGGTTTTTATGCAGACATAAATGTTCAGCTCTTTGGGGTAAACCAAGAAGCTCAGTTGCTGGATCGTGTGATAGGAGCGTGTTTCGTTTTGTAAGGAAACATCGAGCTCTCTTCGGAGCGGCTGTGCCCTGCCGCATCCCTAGCAGTGAGCGAGTTTCGTGGCTTCACGTCCTCGCCAGCGTTTACTGCCGGGATTTTGGCAGAGTGAGATCGCTTCATCTTAAGTTTATCTTTTTAAAATTCTGGAGCAAATGATTTTTGAAACATTTATTAGCTATGAGCATACATAATAAAGATATATGCAGTATTATATTGTTCGATGAGTCTTCGGACCCAGAAAGCAGAAGGAGCCAGCACCCCAGAAGCCTCCCTCCATACTTCCTCATCACTAGTGTCTCCAAGGGTCACCCGACTTCCCGCCTCGTGAGACAGTTTGCGTGCTTTTGTGCTCTTCTGTTTACATTAGGAATGTAATCGGACAGCACGTGTATCTTCACGCCTGGTTCTTCTGTTCAACATGACGTTTGTGACATTCGTTGTTGTGTTTTAGATTTTATTGTTGCCAAATCTTTAATCTACGATGGGTCATCGCATCATGAGATCTCACAGAATCCCCATGAAAACTGCAAAGTAGTTTCCCAGGGATTTAACAGCTTTCGTGCCCACCTTATAGCTCCTCAGTCGTGTAGAAATAGATGGTTTTCCCATGTCTTCTAGGCGGTTTTCCTGTTCTCCTTCCTCCTTAAACTCAGCCCTCAAATCCAGCCTTGTCATAGCCCGTCTGTTATCAGGGACTGTGACGCGCGACCCACCAGGATGCTCGGCTTACTTGCTGGTCCCTGATACTGCTCATTGGCCCTTCAGCATCTGTGGTTGTGTTTTTAGATTCCTTTGTGTCTGTTCACACTCACCTGCCAGCTGACTTACTGAGGCGATGGTGTCGCCTCTGGTCATGAAACACATTCGTCTCTGCTGCTTCTGTTGCTTTTTATTATTGTTTCTCACTAAAGTTAATCCGTTCAGGCTGGTGGAGACTGAGCGCTATAAAGGGTTCGTGTGGGTAGTGTTTATTGCGACAGCCCAGAACATGGTGGGGGGCGTGTTGCAGTCAGGACCAGAAGCATCTGTGAAGGCTTCGTGGGAGATGAGGAATTAGATACTTCAGAAGACAGACCAGGGAGTGAGGGAAGGGTACCACCCGTGAGGGAAGGTAGGCAGGGGCCGTAAAGCCTGGAGCTGTCACTGGGCAGGGGGTGGCTGGCCTGGAGGCCGCGGGGGGCATCGTGAGTGTCAGGAGTTACGGCTGAAGGGCGGGGTGGCAGCACATTGGGAACGTGTGGGACGCCAGGTGCTGGACTCGAGATTCTACGCTAATGTACTCCGACAGTTATGTCGTAGCTGCTTTTAGAATCCGATAGAACTGTAAGCCATCTTATCATCGAAGGGGGAAGGGGCACATGTGCACTCATCAGAATGACCTATCAGAATCAGGCTACCTTTCGCGAAGTTCATGGACCCGGCCAGCTCCTCCGTGGGTGGTGTCAGAAACCAGCTCGAGTGTTCACCTAAAACTCAGATGTCACGGTGCACCAGTTAGAGGACTTTTGTCCGCAAGTCACAGAATCCCTAAGTAAAGCGACTCAGACCGCAGCTGTTTGTACCGCGTCACACAACAGGAAGTCTGGACGTCGCCGGTCTCCGGTGAGTCGGTGGCTCAAAGATCATCTCTCTCTACTGCGATCGTCAGTGTCGGCGAAGTGCCCACGATGTCTTCCCACGTCACACCTCCTACCGTATCAGGAAGGAGGAGGCATCGGGGAACTGGGCACACGTATCTTGTCTTTTTCCAGAACTAAGCAGGAGGGAGCTTCTTCGCCACGACTGTATCCACAGCCACCCTTGCTGCAGGGGGGTTGAGAGGACACATATGTCACAGGAGTCAGGCTCTGCGGAGCTGGGGGGACGAGCCTGGTGTCTGCCCAACATTTAATGAATGCCTGATGACCGATCGATGACGTAGTACCGCTGAGAGCCTCCTAGACGTTTGTTCATCGTCCTCTGACTATTCCACCGTATTTCTCGTAAATCGGTCTGGAAACAATTATTTCCTTCCATGCCTAAGAAATACGACCATTTACGTGTCACGTGGGGTGGAGGTGAAATTATGCCATTTGACCGAATCGTGATCCCTTTATTGTTGTTTTTGTTGGTTTCATTCAAAACAAAAAGCACAACTGCCTTTCATTCAGCATTTATTTGTAAAAATTATTTGTTTTTACCATCTATGCTATTTCTGCATGGCGATCAGAATGTTCTGTAGTCCTCTCTTTTTACCAAAAATACAAAAAGTTTAACCGTTTGCCTCTTTCTTTTCCTAGCCGAAGACAACAGTCTGTCTCAGAGGAAGAAGGTCACGGTGGAAGATCTCTTCAGTGACGAGTTCAAAGTTCACGACCCCGAGGCTAAGTGGATCAGCGGTGAGTCCTGGGTCCTGTCGGGGGTGGGGAGCCCTTCCCCGACTCCCAGCCACTGATGGACGGAGCCCGGCTCCCACCGTCTGCCCGTCACGCCCAGCCCCATCCCTACGATGATCATCTCATCATCATTCTAAGGAAATGTGGTAAAATGGGGCTGCTCCTTCACGAGAAACGGGTCCTCCCCGCATCATCGTTTCTCCACGGAGATGTGATGTGTTGCTAAGCAACGACAGGGCACAGAGAGACCCTGCTGAGCTCCCCCTTCACTTGGCCCCTTCACTCCCCATCATGCTCCTCCGGCTCACACTCCCTGCTAGCTAGAGGGGCCAGCGGGCGCTGAGTGGGTCCTTCTAGAACGCTGCCAAGTCATGGTAACAGTGCGGCCCGGTGCACAGAAGCAGACGCATTCATTTTCCTCTTGAACTGCAATCCGGGTGGAATCTGCTTTTCTCATCTGGGTGGGTTTTTTTTTTAAAAAAAAACAACAAAACAGAATTGGAGGCAAAAGGAAGTAGGTCCCTGATGCATTTTCCGGTCCGGGACAGAATCCGTTTCGTCCGGGTGGGTCAGCAATGGTTTTGGGGTGCAGCGACAGTAGGAAAGGTGCAGACGCCTGCTCGCCCGTCCTCTGCAGGCTTCGCTCGGCCCTGACGTCACCTGGTCATGGCGCCTCTCCTGCTTTCTCTGTGAACGTTGTTTGCATTTGGTTTGCGCCTCGGTGGGAGGCACTTGAAAAGCAATCCTCAGGTCAGAGGACCTTTCCGTGGCATATGCCGGACGTCTGGTTCGAATCCCGGCTTTTGTAATAAGTGAGGCCCAGAGAGGTTAAGTGACAATTCCGAGGTCACAGAGCTAGTCGGCGGCACAGCCGTCTCCCTCCAGACTGCGCATTTAATGCTCCTCCCGCCACGGTTTTGGGGAGTGACACCGTGTCACCATGTGTTCTTGCTGTCACACCGTTTCTGAAATGCTCCTCGTGCTTCAGAAGCTCCCAAACTCAACTCGCGATGACTCTCCGCCCTCCGGCTGTCACTAGGCAATGGCTTCTCCAAGGTCCCGTTCCATAGTTTTCGTATTAACTGCTGATCTTGGACGGGCTGATTTAAAAATGAAAGAAGTCCATGATGGGTCTCCAGGGGAGCAGCTTCTGTAAAGGGAACGGGAGGAAGGAGACAGCGTCTTGTGAATTCCAGGCACACGGGGGTCCACACAGACGGAGCCAAGGGCTCTTGCGTTTGACTAGGGGACTGGTTCTCCCTTTGGCTTGAAGGGCACTTGGCATCCGCTCCCCGTTTGTCTTCCCACCACGTGGGCAGGTGGCGGGTGCCACAGTGTGCTCTGGGCCTGGCCTTGGGAACGAAGGTGATTGCTCTCTTCGTAAGGACCGCAGAATAGAGTTCTGGGGGCCAAGCGATAAGCCACTGGCGGTACCCCTGACGCAAAGTGCACAGGGGAGAAACACGATTATCTCGTTCTCCGGAGACGGCGTTTCGGAAATGGCGTGCGAATTCCGTCTTAAGGGCTGACTGGGAGTTTACGAACGAGAGGGCAGAGAACGGAGCCCTGGAAACATGTGAGCCCGAAGCGTCGGTCTGCACTGAGCCCCGCTGGGAGAGCCAGGGGGTGGGCGAGAGATGGTAAGGACAGGAGAAGAGACGAGAAGAGAGGGAGGGAGAGAAAAAGGAAGGAAGGAAGGAAGGGAGGGAGGGAGGGAGGGAGGGAGGAAAAAAACTGGCAGAGAGGCAGACTCTACGTATAAAACAAGGGACAGAGATGAGGAACACTAAACCAGAGCTACGGGGTTCAGAGCAGGTCAGGGGAGGCCCCAGAAAGCACCATGAGGTGGTCAAATAAGACAGCCGTGTGTTTTTATCCGGGTGCCACAGTTGCGCGCTTGGCCTCGATCAGCATTCTATATGCAAAAAAAAAAAATTGTGTAAGGGGAGATCCAGGGGCGCAGGGCACACGAGTGTGTGCAGGGACCTGGGCGGGTACTGACCTCAGGGGTGTGCATCTCACGAGCTCACCTGCCACGGGCGAGCGGGGCTGTCCGGAGGCGTGCTGGCCGTCTGGCCAGAGGAAGCGAGGTGGCAGGCAAGTCCTTACAGGCACGAAGCGAGAGTTAATAGAAGCACTTGAGCGGGGACCTTGCGCCCGGCGGAAAATGCCCGGCCTGCCTGCTCTGGCGGGTCGAATGTGTCCATCGGCGCGGCCTGCGGTTCCGAATGAACCCGCCTTTGCTGGTCAGGCATTTCCGCAGGAGGAGCCTTCCCGCGCCAAGGCGCACATCGATCGCGAAGTAACCGGTGTCAGGTCTGCTGAGAGGGGGCGCCATCCAGAGAGCGGGGCGCAGGGGTCCCCCACACTCCTCCTCGCTGCCTCTCTGCTCCTCGCGTACCCATTTCCACCCCGGTCCTTCTTCTGCGTCTCGCTCGCTGAAGACGTGAGCGCTCAGATAGTGAGCGCAGTAACGTTGCAGCGATTAACTGAGACTTGGTCATTGATGTTTACAAATACCACGAAGAATTCATTCGTTCCTTACACCGCGCATGTAAATGTGAGGATCCGGGGAACAATTACTACACACGCCTCAGGTTATTGATGGATGTGGAGCTGGGGCGCGATCAGAACGTGCGTTCAGATTATTGACGGATGTGGAGCTGGGGCGTGATCAGAACGTGCGTTCCTTGTATTCCTGTTTATCGGGGGCCTGCAACGCAGCAGGCGGGCTGCTGGGCCCAGGCAAGCGATGGGACTGTCCGCGGACCGTTTCTTAGTGGCGGACTTGGGGGCCACCGCCTAGTTCCTCCTCCTCCTCCTCCTCCTCCTCTTCATCGTCACCGTCGTCGTCATCATCACCATCATCACCATCATCAGCACCATCACCAACACCATCATCATCACCACCATCACCATCATCATCACCGTCATCATCACCATCATCGTCACCGTCATCGTCACCATCATCATCACCACCATCACCATCACCATCACCGTCATCGTCACCATCACCACATCACCATCATCACCATCATCATCACCATCATTGTCACCGTCATCGTCACCATCATCATCACCGTCATCGTCACCATCATCACCGTCATCACCATCATCACCATCACCATCACCACCATCACCACCATCACCATCATCATCACAGTCATCGTCACCACCACCATCGTCACTGCGCGATTACCTACTGGACGGTTCCCATGTCGTAACCTCTAGTTTACATACATTAAATCCTTTAATTCTCACGACCTCATCATTCCCCTTTTACGGATGAGGATCTGAGGCTTGGGGGTACTGAGTGACCTGATCGATATTGCACGGTTAGCACCATCACCATCATCACCATCATCACCACCATCATCGTCACCACCACCATCTTTATTGTGTGATTATCTACTGGAGGGTTCCCATGTCGTAACCTCTAGTTTATATACATTAAATCGTTTAATTCTCACGACCTCATCATTCCCATTTTACGGATGAGGATCTGAGGCTTGGGGATACTGAGTGACCTGATCGATATTGCAGTTAGTAATTAGCAAAGCTTGGACGTGAACCGAGGTCCCTCTGAGACTTATAGCCTGTGCTACGTTGGGTAGGACCCAGGTCTCCTGTCTCTAAGCAGTTTCTTTCATGACCTCACCAGCTACACTGAGGGTTTTAGCCAAGACTGTAGGTGTGAATGTTTAAACATTATCTCCATCCCTTAAATTCTCTGTTCTAACAGCCCTTATTCCCGTCATGCCTGTGTCAAACTAACAAAATATCCAAGTTTTGACAAAAGTCTGATTTCCCATGGAGAAAGTGACTTGCTTTTTCTTTCTTTTTTTTTGGGGGGGGGGCACCTTAATCACTAAAGTTAACGAATGCATCTTGGGTTTAACATTGGAGTTCATAGTCTAGAACTCATACACTTTGTCAGGAGGAAATGTGTTGGAGTTAAATTTCTCCTCACCCCTTTTTAAACGGGAGACTTAATTTTTCAAATCTACCGCTCCTGGAAGTGATCGACACGGCGGCCTTCAAACTCGCGAGCGTCCTGAGGGCCCCCAGGCGCTCGTCGCACGCTCGCTGCAGCCGCCGGGGCAAGTCCCGTGCGGTCTGTGCCGCGGGTGGGACCGACGCCATCGGAAGGCTGGCCCTCGACGTCCTGTCACAGAGGCAGAGCCACACGCTGCACACGATTTCAACCGTCCTGCCCCCTCCCCAACCCCCGAACCTTCTCCCCATCCTTCTTCTCAGCTGACCCTGCGGCGAGAAAGCCTCGGAACCCTCCCCTCGTCCCGTCCGCTTAGCCGCCAGCGTGCGCCCCTCCTGCCGTAACCACAGATGCCCCGACCGCGCCCAGTCGCGGGCGAGCTCGCTTCGCTTTCTCGGGGAGTCCTGGCGGCGCCCTCCTTCTGTCAGTGCTCCCGCGTCGTCTCTGTGCGAGGTCACCCCCTCGTCTGATTTCTCGCAGCGAACCCCGCACGCAGCCCGCTGGATCCACGCGCCCCGCCTGCCGCTGCCCGCGTTCGCCGCTCCCCTGGGCAGCTCGGCATCGCCGTCCCTCCGCGATGTCCACGCTCCCTCCTCCCATTCCCTCTGACCCCGCTCCAGGTAGGCGTCCGGCCCCAGGGCCCCCAGAAACTCCTTTAGCCAAGGTCGCCAGTAAACTCCAGCTGACCGAAGTCCACGGTCACTTCCCATGTGACCCATCAGCAGCACCGGACACAGCCGAGCCCTCGCTCCACCTGGATAAACGTCCTCACTGACCTGTGGGTTCGCACGGTGTCTTATCTTGTGTCCAGCCCACGGGCGGCGCCTTCTCGGACCCGGTGCTGGTTCCCCCTCTTCTCCCTGACTTTGGTGTGGGCGGGACCAGGCTCGGTCTTCGATTCCCCCCGCTTTAATGTGCACCCCTGCCTCTCATGACTTTAAATGCCCTCCGTCTGCCGATGACCCCTAACTAAACCCGGCATGACCGGACCTCTCTCCCGAGGCCCTCG